TGATAGACATCTGCAAACTTCTAGGTCCTTCAGTGTCTATTGATTTTGCACTTCCTTCAAATCCTTCATTGAAGACATCCTCAGTGGTAGCAGTTGGTGCTTCATGTTCAACATATTGTTCGTTAAAATGTCTTTGAATCAGATTTGTTGGCACCCTCTTCTTGTATCTTCTGTTAGGTTGTTTGAATAATCTGTGAGTTTTTTTGTTTTTAAAGCTGTAATCATGCAGACAGATTTCTTCTTCTGCAGTCAGATAAATTTCAGTTTCTCGCGGCTCATAGTTTCACTTCTTTGTGAGTCATCTGACATTTGAATTTGTTCTTATACCTGCAAACTGAAACTATGAGAGATTTGTTGTTGTAGTTGATTCATTTCATGAATAATATACATCATTGAAAGTAAGCACAGAAATATCACATATTTCTGAGAAGCAGTCCGTCTTCGAAACAAACCTCTGGAAATGCAGCTTTGAAGCTATGACTCCTGGTGACCAGGAAAGCTCCTCCACAAAACCTTCTGCTTTCTTTCTTTCTCATTGAGTTGCTGACATGAAAGCTCTTTTATCCCCTGGAGTGCTCTGTTCGGGGCCTGCAGGCTTTGTCCAAAGTTTAATCAAGTGAAATGGCTCCAAATAGAACAATCCAGTATGGCTGTTCCCTGAATGGAGGCGTTCATTTCTCCTGAGACAAAGGCTGAAGCGCCGCAGCAAGAGTCCTTCTTTGTCGCGCGCCGCAGTCAGTGAATCTGCAGCTGATCACCTCGCACGTCGAAACCGATACAAGCCTTACCTCCAGGGCGAATCCAGGTTTAAGGCACCATGATGGACGCTGGAAGGAAGCCACCAGGAAGACGGAGCAGCCATGACAGACTGGAATGGGAGCTGATGCATGTTCAGATAATTCCCCTGTCTGCTGCAGACATAAAAGTGAAAAGGAAGTAGAAACACACAGATGCACAGACGGCTGCTGGGGCTGAGGGCTTGGCAGAGCGCAGCAGACAGATTAGTGCAATAGTCTCGGCCAAGGCCGTCATCTGCCCACTGTAGGGCTGGAAAGACTGGCAGCAAGATGCGGCTCACACACAAAGAAATTAGGCCCGATGAATGAGTCGGTTTGGATGGGTTAGCTCAGGGCTCACTCTACAAAACAGGAAGGAGGCCGAAATAAAAAACATACTATAAAAAGGGAAATGATGTGTGTGGGTTCAGAAAAGCACAGCTCAGATCAAATCTCTGCATCCTGATTGGTCCAGTTGGATGGTCCAGCTGTTCAGACCTCTTCATAGATGGAAAACAGTCTGACTTTTTTAATCATGGGTTGACCCACTAACAATCAGCATTTGGCGCCTTCCAATAAAAGCTGGATCTAACCCCTCACTGGCACCTGCATGTCTGGTGACATCATCACGCTGGGTTAGTGTTGATGATGTCACCAATGCGACAGAAATCAGGGATGTAAACAATTGAGAGCCACATAGAAGGAAGCTAGGGTAGTCAGTGTGCTTTATTGTTTCGCTCTGTTATCTATCTGAATCCCTCTAAGCAGAGCTGCTCCAAGTTTATCCAATGTAAACAGAGTTGATTCTGCTTGTTAGATCAGAAGCGACTGGCACAGTGTGTTGATGTCCGTTGCATTGGGTTCAATGGTATCACGTAATTTAGTGTGTTGAACCGGCTCTGGTGTTCCCACAGCATGCCGATCAGAGCCGAGGAGACTTTAAGGCGGGTCGCTTGCAGACTTGTTTGACCCTTTTCTTCCATTATTGTTTCAAGCAAAGAACCATTTTTTTTATAGTTTAACGAGGTATATTCTATCCAGCCCAATCCAATCCTTTCGCTCCAGACCAATTATAACGTCCAGCAGACCAATAGAAAACCGACCAGACTAAAGCCCCGCCCCCAGAAGAAGAGAATAAGATCTGGAAAAATCTATTTTAAAAAATTAAGTTCTAAAATTAATTCTAAATGAAAACTAATTCTTTGAAATATAAAAAAAATAAATTCAAAAGACAAATTTAAATTAAAAAAAAAAAAAAAACTGAAAAAAAATCTACAAAAATAATTAAATATAAGAAATTTCTCAATGTTTTATTTCTTGTTTGCATTTTTTATGTAATTTCTATTAACAAAACCTGTTTTTGGATTCATTCCTTATTTTTTTTGTTTTTTTGTCTTTTTGAACATGAGGTCACATCCATCTCTCTGTACAGAAGAACATAACTTTGGCGTGTTTTAGTTCATTTATCTTTGTTAGGATCCCTTTTATTTTCAGTTAGTTTTTTTAATCTGGGTAGATCCAACATTGCAATATGAACGTTTTTCATTTTCCTATGAAACCATCATTTTAATTTAGCAATTTAGGCTCCAATAGATCCAACAGATGCAGTTCGGCTGTAGAATTTATTATGTTTGTGATCACATTACAACCTGATGCTTTGACCTTTGCTTCACTTTGTTTTCCCCGAGTTTTTCCAAAACCAATTGAAACCTAGAAGAAATAATAATAATTGATGCGTCCATCAGCAGGATATTCATTAGTCCTGTTGTTTGGAGATGTTTTTCTGTGTTTCTGAGGGTTTCAGGGTTTTAATGAGTTAGTAAACACTGAGTGTGTCGGCCTTACAGAGGGCAGAAAGGCAAAGAGAAAAATGCCTCCCATTACTTAATGCTGACTAATGTGACAGAACCAAAGTCGTTATTAGACCCAAACGAAGCCCGGAAGCTCAGCAATATTAGGGAGATTAATCTCC